GTTGTGTTGAGGGACAATGAATACCTAGGATTGTCGACATCAAACTGGGAAAAAATTATTTCCTAAGTATCCTCCATATCCTGTATATAATTTGAAGCTGAAAATATAACAATTGAAGCCCTCTCCAAGATGTACATCGACTTTTTTCAGGTAAAATGTTTCGCAGCTTCTTTCAGGTTACTGCTGCGAATTCCGTAAGTTACCTTCCTGAGATGAAAGCGAAGAAAGACTCTTAACTAATTTGCACTCTTTGAAAAGCACACGCTTATTGTTGTCCGTTTCAATGACAGACCGACCTGCCGCTAGTGTTGACATAAGATAATTGAATCAAATCAATCAGCCATTGACTTTTTAAAGTTAATTAAAACGTTCCCACGGACATCATATCGTAAACAGTTGAAACGATTCAAAATTATAGTGTTTGGTTTTTACCTGAACTCCAATTACTTTTTTGTCCAACTAAGCTTCGTGGAGACTCTAGCTTAAGAGAAGTTTTAAGATAAGAAAATAAGTTTTTAAAGTGAAAATCGATTGCAAGAACTTAAATAAATAAATCCCGAGGTGTTTTCGGCCAAAAAGTCACGGAATATCGTGACTTATTTAAAAGGGCATGGTGCGTTACCCTATATATCTGCATTATGAAAACAAAAGGGAAAAGCGTGCTTAACTTTATTGCTCATTTTCAGTTTCACTGCATTGGATATGATTATGCATTTACCTGAATTGGGCTCACTAATTTCAACAGTTACTTATGTTGTTTATTTCATGAAAATTTTCACGATTATTTTGGTGGCCGTGAAATTAATTTCATTGCTGATAAAGATGTCATTGAAGAAAATTGAACAGTTTCCAGTATCATTATTCGAACTTGACCTTCTGAATGTTTGAATAGAAATTTGATTATCTAACCCTTTCTATAAAGCTAAACTTTTCGTGCTGGTTAACTCAACCGGCACTACTTTGACACTAATAAGTGTTTCAAACTTTAACATTATCATGACTAGAAATACGACTTTATGAGATGCTAGCGCTCCATAACTTTCATGTGGTGAATAATTCAAGAATTCATCGATCTCTGGCTAGGCTTACGTTGGAAGAAAAAAATTGAATGTCAGCATTTTCGGTGTTACGGTACTTCAGCGTCAGTTGAAAGTTATTAAATATATGGTTGTGCTGAAATGACAGTGTTTTACAAACGTGGACCGCCGGTCTACCGAGCAGTGCGCACAACTGAGTTGGATAGTGAAGTATAAGAAAAACGCTAGTACTTTGCTTTCACCGCGTCCATCGTGTGGGAGTTTCTTATCGAAGAATTCGAGGAAGTCCAGCTGATTCACTACAGCATCATGCTTATGGTTGGTGGCAGTTTGAACGAAAGTAAACTTACGTTTTGTTTTAAGTATTAAACTATCAATTTGTATTTTTGCCTTTCCAATTCTTGACATCTGGCTAACACAGAAAAACAAAAAACAAGATGGAATTACCTTCCCTTCTTGATATTGCCCCTCCAGTCACCTTCATACTTTCTATTCGTTGCAGCGAGTAAGAGAACTCTGCCTTAAACTGCTGTACATGCAAGAAAAATTGCTAACTCATCAAAGAAGTATTTCAGCGGTCCTTGACCTGTTACACAAGAATGCTATTTTCTGATGTAATATCCTTGAGCTATTGTACTGATTGTTCAGTACAACATTTTTTTAACCGAGGAGAGGAAAAATGTCGGACGGGAAAAAATTGTCTCAGGGTCATGGAACTTTTTTACAAACCTAAGTTTTATGAGTTCTTGCAGTACCGCACACCGATCAAAACCATGTTTGCGGCAGTACTGCACGAATTTAAACAATGACAATTTGCTTTGATCTCCCACGCCGTCTTTGCCTGATAGCACACTTCAAGCTTGCTTATATACCTGTATACATCGTAATGTGCATGGTATGGGAATTATACGCCTATTTTCGACCTTACCGATGCTGCCTAGCCCCGTTAACTTGAACTTCTGCGGGAAACGAAAAATAGTTAACAACTATTCACCGAAGTGGAGGCTGCCGAGCCGCACTGCGTCACACTACCGTATCCTACCAATGACCGAATGTTTATTGGCCTTTCTAGGGCTTAAAAATACGTTTTCGAGAATGCTATCACGTACGTATCGCCCAAAAATTTCTAGTGCAAATGTCGATCCAAGAAGAAGGTTCGAAATAAAAAGTAACAGCTTTAAATGATTGCTGCTAAATATTCCAGTTAATTAACCCCTGTGGGACCTTTCAACGGTTTAGAAGTAAAAGCGTTGTCACCTTGAGGCAGAAGAGAATGCAACCAGAATTGTAAGTATTGTTAATATTCTTATGCTTTTGTTCTGTCTTCTTGTTTGTCTGTATATTTGTAACCATGTCTGAAGTTTAACTATAAACTGATTAACGGTTTAACTATAAACTAATTAACTATCGTTAAAAAATCTATCAAGGGGCGAGTGGACCCATGCGAATCATCTCGCTTTATCAACGCTTGTTACCCTCTAACGCTCAAGCGCGTTTTGTGTTCATCTGCGAATCGACTTTTTATGACAAGTATCGACTCAACGAAAAAGTCCTAAAGACGAGTCTGGTCGACCTGTGATTTGCAACTATGATTGAAGATTTCCGTCCTACTAAAATTCTAGCCTGGAAGCTAGCGCAAACATCACAACATTTCGCTTTCCCTCCCTTCCCACAAAGTTCTTTACCATCGCCTCACTTCATCGCATATCAATGCAACCAGTCGTGTTGTTTATTTTAAGAGACAATTCACGCAACATCGTACCACATCAGGCGCCCTAGTTCGATTCATGGTCAAAACTATTCCCAGTTGCGAGCCGAGAACCTCGGTGGTACCGCCAACTGGGCATCAGGTGACAGTGGGCGCTTTGGGACTAAGTCCCAAGATCCTACAACGCTTCCCCGTTTCCAGAGCACACTAAACTCAAAGCGGCGCATTGCTCAGTCTTGCGAAAGCCTCAGTGGCTGAGTGGAATAACTGGCGTTCCACACGAGGATGCTCAAAACGTACGTTGCAACGACAGAAGCCTGTGGAAAAGGACCTTGGGTAAACGGGTAGGAAGGAAAGGGATGGATTATAGAGGATGAGGAATTTTCCTTACAGAAACAGAAGATGCATAATTTTAGGAAGTACAACTTCTATCATTTATTTAACTTTTATTGTACAGCTGTATCAAAGAATTACAACCAACCAAGTAAATCACTAAATCTGTAAGGGTTTCCACTCGCTTTTTAAAAATCAGATGTTGTCAGCTGACAACCTCTACTAATACATCTCCTCAATTTCATCCCGTCTCTTACAAGACCTGATTTTAGAAACTTAGCGAACGTGTAACAAAATGTAGTTGACTGATAAAACAGTGTTACTTTGCGTATGAAATTGGTCCTTTGTGAAGCCTCTCTCCTTCATTTGAATAACCTCTGTTTTCTTTATAATCTACTCGATAAAAAATATTCATTTTATGGAGGATGTTCCCGTAATTAACCTCGTAATTGTAGCCCAAAATCATTCGTGCCCTTTTGGAAAGACCTCGAGCATAGTTCTTCCCTATACGGAACTCCCGTCTGTTGAATGACATATGTACAACATGTATGAACCTTGTCACTCTAAAAAAGAACTCTTTTAGAATATTTTATAAAAATATTTTTTAAAATACCTCTACTTCATATATATAAAAACGACAACTTTCTATAACTTAATAAACTAATCTAGTATGGATACGACCGTATATTTATTTGTTTGGACTGAAATAACTCAGACCTCAGTTTCGATAATTCAATGTACTATACTCAATCCACACATTAAATTATTTCAAATAATTAATTTAACTATCAAATAATTTAGTAAGGATAAAAAACCGACAACTTTCTATAACTTAATAAATAAATCTAGTATGGACACGACCGTATATTTTTCAGTTTGGACTTAAATAACTCAGATTAATTAAATCTATAATGCTCAATCCAAAGATTAAATTATTTTAAATAATTAATTAATTAAACAATCAAAACAAATAAGATTAAAGGAAATCAACCACACATAAACAGCTCCTTTCTACTGAGCACATACTACAAAGTGCAAGCCAAAACTGTCTGTTTGCTGTGTCCACTGGCACAAAACAGATTAGATTTGTGAACACTTCAAGAGATCAAAGATTCTGCAGCTGAAACTGGGGGATATCTGAGAATATCATCCAAGGGATATACCCCAATTTTCAAACCTTAAGTCCACTACGAGAAGTCTAACAATAACCTGTACAAAACACTACAAACACAAAAAACAAATAAATACACAAAAGGCCAAAATTTCAATCATTTCCACCGCTTTTTTACTCCCATTATGTTCTCTCAATGAACTACTCACTTATGTCATCGTGCTCTGTTGGCACATTTCTATGCATAGGAAACTGGTGACCTTCAAGAATTAGGTTCTGACCATCACCCACCACTTGCTCCATTTGAGACCTTAGATCTGAAGTGTTACCATTGAGAGGCAATACAGCATTTCTTCTTCCAGGTACATTACCTGGGGTAGCAGCGTTGCTCACAGCTGTACCAACTATGTCATCGTGTTCTGTAGGCACGTTTCTATGCATAGGACACTGGTGACCATCAACAGCTAGGTTTTCACCATCCACCACTTGCCCCATTTGAGACCTTAGATCTGAAGTGTTGTTAGTGAGAGACAATGCAGCACTTCTTCTTCCGGTTTCACTACCTGAGGTAGCAGCGTTGCTCACAGCTGTACCACCTATGTCGTCGTCCACTGTGGGTACGTTTCTATGTGTAGGAAACTGGTGACCATCAAAAACTAGATTTTGACTTTCCTCCACTTGCCCCATTGGAGACCTTGAAACTGAAGAGTTGTCATTAGGAGGCAATACAGCAATTATTCCTTCAGGTTCATTGCCTGGGGCAGCAGTGCTGCTCACAGCTGAACCCCCACAAAGAAACTGGTCTGTTGAGTGTCTGGCCAAAAATTAGGGGTAAATTCCAGGTGTAGCCAGGCGTAGTCCAGCTGTTGGGGGCTGTGATCTTCCCAGTGCTGGTGAAGTGTTGTTAATGGGAGGCAATACAGCACTTCTTACTTCAGGTTCATTGCCTGGAGCAGCAGTGTTGCTCACAGCTGGACCACCACAGAGAGACTGGTCTGTTGGGTGTCTGGCCATAAACGAGGGGTAAATTCCAGGTGTAGCCAGGGGTAGTCCAGTCATTGGTGGCTGTGATTCTCCCAGGGCTGGTGATAGTAAAAATGAATATCTCAATGTACTCTCCTTGTAAGAGGAAGGAAATATTTGAAATTTGTTACATCACTTGCAGTGCCCATGGGCGAGATGAAGCCAATCCTGTGTTCTAATTGGCTACCCAAGCGGGCAAGATGGCCCCGTCTTGCCCACTTGGGATTGCCTGCATTGATCCCCTACATTCAATATAAATAACAGTTACTTATTCGCTAACAAAACTATCGATGAACACCTGAGATATTCCAATGCATGCAGGCCAATTACAATTAAGTAATAAAAGTGTGTATACAGATTGTTTCTTGACCAAGCTAAGCTTACCAGGCATTTGGATAGTGCTAGGAACAACACAGTCAATTTCACCACCTTCAGCAGAGTTAAGCAAAGGCTCACTAACAAGCCCAGTACTGGAGGCAGACACTTGATTTCTTGAACCATCTCTCCCTTCTATCTTTTCCTTTCGTCTTGCACAAGTTTGCTCCAAGTTGCCTGCAATTTTGGAATATACATCACTGAAATATGTGTACTCTTTCACATTAACTGCTCTGTTAGTTGGTCTGAAGAAAATGTATAAACTACTAACACTCACACTGAATTTCACATTTCATAAAAATAACGGTTACTGTTTGACAAAATAAAAAATCATGATGAGGACCTGAAATATTTCGAGACATGCAAGCAAACCAAATACTAAAAATGACTGAAGTGCATGAAAAACAATCCTTAGTGACTTCTGATAAACACATCGCCTTCTCCCAAACTGTCACAAGGGAAATAAAAGAGTTTTTAGCCCTTTAACTCCCAGAAGTGATTGCATAATGAGCATTAGCAATGAAAATGCCATGTTTAATATTCATATTGGAAAAGGAAGTTTGAATTATTCAGCGAATATTGGACAAGCATTTTCCCCTTTACTTTCAACAACTTTCACAAAAATGAAAAAGCCATCATAACCACAGTTTTTCAAAAACTGATTTCGATAATATGTGCATTTTGATCAAAAAGTTTGTATACAGATTGTTTTCTGACCAAGCTAAGCTTACCAGGCATTTGGATAGTGCCGATAAAAGGGGTGTCAACTTCACTGCCTTCAGCAGAGTTAGGCAAAGGCTCAGTAACAAGCCCAGCACTGGAAGGAGACACCCGATTGCCTGAACCATCTCTTCCATCTATCTTTGATTGTTGATCCCTTAGCGGAAGTGAGAAACTCAGTGAACCATGGTCACTTCTTTGACCAATTTGAGACTCCACTGAGAATGGTTTAGCTCTGCTGGACTCAATTGCTCTTAACATGAGCTCACTGTATGAATCTATTTCCTGGGATACTTTGGGTCTTGCTCCAGTATGATCCCATTTGCCTGCAATTTTGAAATTGACACCAGTGAAATCTGTGCACTCTGCAAAATATGATCCTTACAATTTTACCACAAGCTCACATTCCTCTTTCACATCAAGTGCTATCAACTATGTTGGTTGGTAAATAAAAAGGCAGAATGACCAACATTGGCACTGAGTTTCATATTTTACACAAACAACAATATTACTATTTCAATAAAAACTAATGATGAACTCTTATAGTATCTATAGAGACCTGCAAGCAAACCATGAAAATATTAGGAGGAAGTGCATAAAATACAATCCTACGTGACTTTTGGTAAAACACCACCATCTCCCTGGGTATAAAAAAGGAATTATACTAGAATCCAGTTGTCTATAAGAGGTCAGTGAGGGCTGAATCATTAAGGTAGCCCCTATCATTAAATTCTCTATCTCTTCACTGGTTATTCATCTAGTAGATACAAAAAAATTCTAGAAATGCTGTAAGTATTCACAGTTCTTTAGTTCTACAGAAGTGCATTATTCTTTAGAAAGTGAAAAATGTCAGATATTAAGGAAAATGTTCCCTTCGTACATTTAGCCCCCCTTGGAAATTCAATATTTGTGTGTTGATCTCAGACAAATAATTTTATGTACCCAGCACTTGCAGCTGTAGTAAGCTTAGTAATATATTTGAGCTAGGGATATATAAAGGATTTGGACAAGGACAATAAGGGACTTAACCTTTCACCAAAGACACAGAACCTACAAAGAAAATGAGTCAACGAGCACTTAACTGATGTTTTAATTTTTCTCTAATCGCTGATAAATGGAAATGAAAATGCCAGATCATTTTTCATTTCTTTTATTTCAAAGCTAGAACTAACACTATGCACAAGGTCATATTGCTCACTTTATCTGAGTCATATAAGTTCACAGGACATATCACCAATTGCTTGGGTGTAAAACTATTTGGTGGGTAGAACCAGTAAGTGAAAGTTATTACAAAGCTGACCCCCTTGCATTGGCCAAGATCAAGCAAATCCTTTGTTCTGATTGTCTACCTGGGCAGGAAAGATGTGCCTGTTTTTCCTGCTCAGATTGTCTGCTTTGATTCCATGCAAAAAAAAAAAAAAAAACTCTACGAACACTACTAACTGCAAATTCACAAAGATCAGGGCTCTACACTAACAGTAGCCCACTAGCCACAGACTAGTAGAAATTTAGTTTTGGCTAGTTTGCTGAAAAGTTAGTGTTGAGCCCTGAAGACATTTCACTTCTAGGTTACTGTATTCACAAATCAGTCATAATAAGTTGTTTTTTGATTTTGCATTTTTATGGACCACAAATTGCATTACACACTCACTTTGGAAAAGGACATTTGAATTCAGTGATTTGATTTATTTTAAATCTTAACAAACTGAAAAATTAGGAAAAGGAAAAAAACAGATTTTTACATTTTCACATTAAAAAATGGATGTTATTTTTTAATGCAAAAGCTAAGCTTACCGGGCTTCTGGGACACCCTAGTGAATCCCTCAGAGAATAACTGTTGTACTCTGTGTCTACGCTCTCGATTCCTTGTGTGAAATTCATCCCTCCCTGACTGAACCAGTTCAGAATTCTCTTTTTCACAAGTATCTGGCCTCTTCTCCATCTGATCATGGTGAGCTTGCCGAAAAGATCCAAAAGACAGTCCAGGCTTCCCTGCTTCCTCTGTTTCTGTGGACTGTTCTGATGAAGGGTCATACTCTTCCACATTTGCAGGCTGTTAATAAAAAAAATATGTACACTTCTCTCAAAATTATGTAGCTGTAATTAAGTGCACTTCTCCCTATAGCCCTGGAATTCAAAGTTTTAAATTCTAGCTCAATTGTAGACACTCTTCCCCAGCTTTGAGTTACAAAATTTCACATACAAAAAATTTGTTTGAGCAGCCAATATACTGTCTTCCTCCTTTCACTCCCTAAAAATAATATTTTGAATAAAAATTTTAGAAATTCACAAAAATCCTTGTCTCTGTATGTTTGTAACTCTTATTTTGTACACTCTGAGCAAGAAATCAGGTTCAGGGTGTTTAAAAGCAGTTCTACATAACTTTCCCACTTGGCTCAATGACAAAACAAATACTTAAACTGTCTGCAACTTTTTATTGCTTGTCCATAATCCAAACTCAAAAGATACTATCCAATATCTAATGCATGCTAATCGAATAATAGCAAGTGTACATCTTACAACTGTATAAGTACACACACACACACACACACACACACACAGCCTAAATGTCCTTAAAGTTCTTTCAAAGTTGCAGAGATTTTTGGTATATCAGGAAGAGGTAATTAGACTTAAGGCTGTGTAATATCACACAGCTCAATGAAAATTACATGTATGAAACAAATCAATGATAACCAACAAGAAGGTGCAAACAGGGAAAGTCAACAAGCTTAAGGTGTTAAATATTTCCTTAATAACCTATCATAGCCGAATTTGATAGAACTCTTCAATCTGAACTTAGGCCATGAGAACAGAGTGTAAAGAATTGAGTTGTCTAACAAGCTTCCTTAGTTGATAATTGTTTTGAAAGACCAACACTCTTTTGGCTAGGAATTTTTCCAATGAAACTAGAACTAAAAAAGGAAATCTCATGCTCAACATGATTGGCCTAAGCTAACATGTTTACTTGCTGCTGAAAGGGGATGGTTAGGGTTATGGTTAAAAAATGTATTTTAAAATTCTTTTGACAGAAATTGTGTGTGCTGCAATTTGTTCTTATTGGATTTGGATCTTGTGCATACTGACAGTGGCAAAGCTCTTTAAACTTGAGTCTTGGGTTAAAAAGTTATTGCATAACTCACATCTTTTAGAACAATTAAAACAACCTCCCATTTCAATTTGACAATCATATTGGTTTTAAGACAACTTTCAATTGCCTGATCACTAAGATCTGTAGAAAGAAATTGATCTGATCTCTAATCAAAAGCTTTTTCTTTCTTTTTTTTTTTGGTTTCATGCAACCAATGTACAGTTCAAAGCAAGATGCTGCTAACATCTGCCATTTCAAATGAAAATTTGAGGAGAGCTTCAGGAAATTTTCAGCACTTTATGACAAACATTGCCCAGAATTGTAACAATTACATATTTAAAAACTCTTTCCCACACAGTAATGGCAAGAGAATTGGGTCTTCAAAATGATGTGTTTAACAAAATTGTTACATTTCTCAGAAAATTGGTGTAACCCACACACTCCTGCGAGCTCTACCCTTTCAGTTTTGGGGACATTTTTGTCTCATCAGAGTTCTTTAAATGCAAACCAAAATAGAAAAAGTAATAGCAGCAAATTCTCTGACAAAAGCTGTATTATCTTCAGCCATCTTGGAAAAATACTGACACTGTAGTTGTGTATCTCGCTTTCCTTGCATTTGTGTTGAAGTGTGAACTTTGTTTTCCTTTACATTTGGGTTTGCATTTGCATCACACATCTGAACCATGCAGTAATAAGTAGTCAAAGGTAATTTCTTAACTGATCTGCCCATTCTGCAATCCATTTGCTTCCCTGATTTTTAACCCTGGGCTAGGTTGTTCAAAGCTGAATTAAGGTAACCCAAGGTTACTGTGAAATTTGAATTCATATCTAAAAGCTTTAAAAGAAAATTAATTTTAAATTCTTATAATTTGATCATTGGATATTCTAAAAAGAATAGGGAAAATTTTCCCAAAAAGGCTTTTGAACAGAGAAATAAAGAAACCTGGATTAAAATTTAACCCTGTGTTGGTGTGAATTGGCCTTCAAACATTTGGACCCTGATTATTAACTGGCTGAAAAACAAATGCATTTTGATTGCTCCTTTGTTATGATCTAGTAGACCGACAGACAGAGGACATGACCAATAATGTGACAGCATGTGTTATTATCAATTAAGCAAGAAGTTTATTCGAGCTAGTTTCTCTCCAACCCCCACCATGGGATGTTTTGATTATTTCTAATTTTTATCAGTGTTTGTTATCAATACCTGATTACTGGACCGTTCTTTCAGTATATCTGTCCAAAACCTTTGATGCGATAGTGTAGTGTTTCATATACATAGGATAAATACATTTAATAAACTGTCTAGTCCCAAAAACAAACTTCTGTCTGTTGCATTTAACTGTTCAGAACTTTTGGGAACATTATTGTTTTCGCTTCACAAAGTCAAGCACTTTGACTTTCTTCAGGGATAATTGTAAATAAACGCATATACTTGTATATATCTGTGTGCAGCCATGAAAAGTAAATATTTTGTTTGATATGCTAATATTGTTGTAACATTCGAAAAGCAAAAATTGTCAAAGTGGCACATTGAGTTACGCGAGAGAGGAGAAAGAATAAGTTAGTGCAGCTTCTCACTGGAACACTTCGCTTGAGAACCCTTCCTCAATGGTCCATCGTCAATTGTAATTCTCTACCGTTTTCTCATTAAGTCGTTCCTTGACGCCGATGCTCGAAGAGGACGAAAGCGATCGACTGATCGAAGTTACAATTAATTGTGCATATTTAAGTGCTAACTTTTACAGCTTCTCTTTGTTTTTCATCTAATATCCTTTTTGAGTGGTGTGAAAAAATTCAAGCTATCACCTCACGAGGAACCCACACGGCGGTTAGCCTAACATTGCAAATAAACATTTCCCAAGAACAGTAAATGTGCAGCGCTCGATTACCCAATGCTCCCAAACTTGATAAATGGGTATCCATTTAATGAACTAGCACAGCGCACTTGAATGCTTGCAAACTTGTTAAGTGAGCGTTCATTTCATAAACTAGTAGTACAGTGCACTCGGATTGAGATCGACAGCTTATTGTAATACGTTTAATGGCCAGCTTTCGGACACGAAACTTTAGCTTACCTGTTCGCCTTGACCAAGATTTCCTTCGAAATCACAAACTTGGCCGGTCGCTGTCAAAAAATCAGGCGTGCGATCAATAAAAGTCTAGTTTCTTGATAAGTAAAATAAACTGAAAGGAAAAGTACCTACCATGATCAACTTCAGCGACCTCTTTTGGCGATTCATCGCCGACAATTTCGAACGAGGTTTTCGCTGTCGCCATTATTATTCCCAGTGAAACTATGACTGAATGACATGGATTGCGTCGAATGTTTTGGTATTGACAGGCGGGGGTAGGGTGGGGGGCTTGCTGTCAGATTCCCAACCAATAACAGAAACTTGTGTGCAAAGTATTTCTCTCGTAAAGTATCCTGCATCAAACTTTTCAGTAAGATAAAAAAAAAAAAAAAAAAGATAGAAACAACTACAGACTAAATTTTAAATGTAGCGGTCAAGAATTTCAGAAATCGTAACTATAAAGTCACTTGTGTACAACATAACTTCACTCAGTAGACGAAAGCCAGAAAGCCTAATGAGTAAGCCCCGAAAAGCCGTTCTGGACAGAAGACATATTTAGCGTGATACTTTGTGCGAAAATAAGTGTGAACAAATTACATTTGGATGACAATGGCAAGCGAACCATTTATTACGAAAATAAGTATAGTGTGAAGGAACCTTGTATCAATTTTTAATAAATTGATTCAAGTTACTTAAAGTTGAAGTTTAGAAATACATACACTCAAGATAAAGCCAAAATTCATCAAATAACCTTAGAAATACCACAACAACTTGATTTAAATCACTTTCAACTTCATTTGAATAAATATAAATATTCAAATAAATACATATACAATTTAATTATAGCTGGGAATAAAAGATCCCTTTCTGTAAAATTTCAAAAAACAACAAACACAAACGATATCATGCAATAAATGTCATTTTTTGTTGTTTTTTTGCTTATCTAAATAATGCTAACTAGCCAAACACACTAATGTAGACGTTTGGCCTACTAGCTTAAAAATCTGAATTTCTGAAGCCTGTGTATTCTAACATTAATGTACATCTATAGCTTTGTAAATTTATGGCCTTCTAATTGATTACCACAACAAATCAACAATTCCTCAACATTTACTCCCATGATCTGATTAATTCTCCCCTACAAAATTATTTTCCTTGTAATTTCCTTAACAGAATTTGGTGCTAGATCAAAACTTTACCTGGTAAGTTTCAGTATTCTCAGTACTTGTTTGATGGATCATGTATAGATATTGTAGGAAGAAGTTGGAGGTCAATTACTTCTGGGAGTTGAAGAATTAATAAAGTATTCCTAGTCACGTCATGATGGAAACTTGTGCACACTTTGACTTATTTCAGTTCAAGCACAGCAATATGGCATGTCTTAGAAGTAAATAATTATCACACATCGCCGATCAAATCTTCCGTTGGGCAATGGACTGTAAAACTTGTGTCCACACTGGGAAGGAAGGACTAAAACACAAAATGAAAATAGAAATTACTCCTCTCATTAACAGAATTGATTTGTGTGCTTTGAAGCAGTGAACATTACTACAGTGGAATCTCAATTTAATGAGGTGCCAAGGGACTGGGGAAATTGATTATTTACATTGAGAGTTCATTATATTGCAAATCTTGATTTAAAGAATTTGCGGAAAAACCAACTAAAACATTCCTTATATCAAGGGTAGGGCGAATAATTGTTGCTGTTTTTTTTTGTGTGCGTGTGCGTGTGTGTGTGCGTGTGTGTGTGCGTGTGTGGTGACCTTGTGCTTCATGTCTATTTGAAGCTACAGTACAATGTACAGGTCCATACATAGCTACAGCACCAGAAACTTAGTTGGCCAACATAATTTTAACACGTATGATGCACGATCCTCGCAGTAGAGAGCGCTATTTATGCAATAGCGAAAATCAGACCTGAAAAAAATCAGGCCTGTACGGGATTCGAACCACTGACCTCTGCGATACTAGTGCAGCGCTCTACCAATTGAGCTAACAAGCCAACTGGGAGCAGGCCGTTAAGTTGATTCGTAATAAACCCGTGATGATAAATCAGATACAATGAATATATGAAGTTCATATATTTTGAACTGTGGTTGTAGATATGTATGATGCACGATCCTCGCAGTAGAGAGCACTATTTATGCAATAGCGAAAATCAGACCTGAAAATCAGGCCTGTACGGGATTTTAACAATTTTAACAATTGCAAATGGCATGTCAAATGTAATAAAAAGTTAATGAACAGGGCAACCAAACAGAAAAATTAAACAAAAGACGACAACTCTACTTTACTACCAAAATTGCTGATCAAGATGCCCAATGAAAAATTCTTCTGATAAAAATTGACTCATTTTTGGTCATTCTTAACTTTACAACCAAAATTGCTAATCAAGACCCTTAATCAAAAAATTGTTTTAATTGCCTCACATTTCATCTTTCGTGATAGAGAAGTGTGGAAATTTCCTTTCTTTTGTGCCTGACTTGTCAAAATAATGTCATAATAAACATGAACAGTGTGTACTGTATTAAACAACAGAACCCTACTGTATAGTACTGCACTGTAAAGACTACTGAGCTAAAGTTGTTAATCAAAATATTAATTAAAAAAATTCTTCCCATGACAATTTTGAATGTTGTTGGTTTGTTTCGCATTTGCCTTTTGTCGTGTGTTGACATTCATTCATTATACCAGGGTATCTGTATATGTTTGGGCTTCTGGATTGTGTTTTGTTATTACGAGGATTTCTTTATATTGAGTTTCCTTCTATCAAGGTTCTGTCATACTGTACATTTTAATGTAACTTTAGCTGGACTGAGAATTATCGTTTGTTTTACCAAGGACTTTGTTATATGGAGGTTCATTAAATTAAGGTTCTATTGTGTAGGCTCTCAAGCTAACATTTTGCTCACACACAGTGGGAGGTCGCAAATATTTAACGAACTACAATGGACTGGTTCCATCCCACTGTGATGTCTCTTTAGCTGCATAACAGGTATCATGTATTTATGCTTAGACTATAAACAATCTCTAATACAAGACAAACTTACTTGGCTTTTTCACTGGATAGGGTTCACCAGGCTGTTTTTTTTCTGATTACTTTTTGTGGGAACTGGATTCTGCCACTATATGCTTGTGATTTGCCTCAAAGAATCATTCTCAAAATCAACATAACTACAGAGCTCAATTTCAAGCATTTTGTAATTGTCATGCTGTTCTGTCTAGCCACTTTTCTTTGACAGTACTTCAACAGATATTTTCATTCAGGAGCTGGGCTGTATACAGGATGTCGACAGACTGGACAGGTGCGACTAAAACAAAACAAAAAATAACTCCATTATTACTCAGGTTCAAGTAGTTATTCCAAAAGAGTGCAATATAATGCTGTGAGAAACATGAAGTACAACATCAGATAAAGCATTACTTCTGATCCCATGTCACTTTCAAGAAACCTTGATTTTCTCACTCTTAGAACACTTAACACAAAGTAAGACCAGGAACATGAATCAAAGCAAAGCATCATCACAAGTGGGACTCCAAAATCAGATACAAGTAGCTACTCACATCCCATTCTGTATCATAGCTATTGCACATTCCCGATGGACTTTGTGTGAGCAAGGCAAAATTTGACACCCACTAAATGCATCCTATAAAAACAACAACAATGAGAGAATTATTTCAATAAAAAAAATTAAGAAGTTCACAATACAATGCACCTGTAATGTGAGAATGCGCCACGAGCAGAGAAATATTAGTGGGTATACAAGTTTGTTTTGTTCACATGATTTTATCTTGTGGTGAAGGTTTCAAACTATAGAAAAAGTATAGAAAATGAAAAACAAGACACTAATGCAGGCACATCTACTTCTAGGGTAACAGCTTACCTCTAGACAGATGCAGCATTCATCATGGCCAGAGTCAGGTCTGCACTTGTGTTTCCCTTGAAGCCGTTTGTCAAGACATACATTACACACATCACAATGAAATGACTTGTCTTTGTGTATCCTGGGAAGACAAAAATGAATGAATGAATCTTTTCCTAAAGCAATTGATGTGGTAAAAAAAAGTTTGACTGTAATGATTATGTTAACAAGGTCAACTACCAGAACTAGGAGCTTAGCAGGCATGCTATGTTAGTAGCCAGTGTCAAAAGTGCAGGCTTAAGGTAGCTCGTACCAATTTCCTCGCGCGGAGAACAAATCACTCTTGCGTCACGCGTGAGAGAAACGTGCGAAAAAAACGCGAGATTAAAGACGAAAATTTAAAACAAAGATGGCGGCGTGAGGATTTTTTCCTACTTATGTGAGAAGTTTACCTAAGAGCTTGTATTTGATGTGTTGAGCGGCCACTGTGAATGCAGGAGATAGAAACTAAGATGACGAAGACGATTTTCGGAGAAGTAAAGGTTGCTTCACTTGACATTTTAAAGAAATATTTAACTGATATGAAATTTTGCGACGGCAAAAAAAGAAGAAATCAAGTGAAGGATAATCTACCTGAAGTGGAAGAAGACTTTGCAACTTCAAGGAAAATAATATGATATAGCCAGAAGTCATGTGTAGAATTTTTAAGATGAGTTCGGGAGGCCGTCTTTGACGGCTGTTTAATGATTTTCTTAGCAGTAAACGTCTGTAAACATCAGATCGTAGGTGCTCGCGCAAGCACACGCAATTGTCAGCGGTAGCTAAAACAGATCATGAGCAAATGTCGATCTTTAGAATCCAGATTTTTAAATGCGCAAGAACGTGGGTGGAAATTGCTAAACTCACTAAAGCTATTGCATGAAAACAAGTCCGGTGACCCCTTCTTTTTATTGTTCCAATATGATAATAACGTCGAAAGGAATCATCAGAAAAAAAACTAGAAAATTCTACGGAAGGAAATTTGCGATGTGTGAAAATTGCCCTTTTTGTAGATTTTCTGAAATTCCGCTCCGTAGAATTTTTTAAAAATCTTTGTGCATTTTCCTTTTCAAGTGCCAAAAGCAATCACTGAAAAAAATCAGGGGGTCACCGGGTTAGTTTTCGAATTATTTAAGCCACAAGCTAAAAAATGCGTCTGAATAAGCCTATGAAAGCGTTGCCATGGAAACTGCTAGTGACGAAATGACACTTATTTTTGGATAACCAATGATTATGTAATTCAACCCTGTAAAGGTGTTCAACTGGCCTTGGTCAGTCTTTCTGTTGTATTCTTTCAAAGTTACAAACCATCAAAAAGATGAAAACCGGTACGAGCCACCTTAA